GGGCCTTGCAGGTCGGCGGCGGCGCTGGTGAGTGAGTGCGGCCCCGGGCCCCCGCCCCGCAGGCTCCCCCGGGCGGCCCAGCCCCAGAGCGGGCCGGGAAGGAGGCGGTGGAGCCCGGGGTCCCTGGTGCCCCCTCAGGACGCGTCGGAGGGCGCGGGGGAAGCTGAATCCGTCCGTGTGCAGCAGTGCGGGCCCTTGGAGCTTTGTTTCTTCACCACCCCCCCAGGGACAGCGAGGAAGAGGAGCAGTCGCAGGCAGAGGCCGGCTCCAGCAGCGGACATGGTGAGCGCTTCCCTCTCCCTCTGGTGCCTTCTGATGTCACACAAGCCCTGGGCCTGACCGGGGCTGAGCCAGCTTCGGTGTTAGAAGTCCTTCCAGTGCTTTGCATCGACTTAAAGCCCCCCTCTACCCTTTTCCTCCCACTTTCCCCTTGGTGTTAGCTTGGAGTCGTGTCACTAAGTAACTAAGGCCAGCAGTGAGGTGTCTGCAGGCCTGACTGAGATGTGATTGCCACTTGTTGATGAAGGGGAGGTGGATTTGGGAAACTGTCTCCTCCTGTGACTCACATCCATCCTGGGCCTTCAAGGCTTTGGCAAGCTTGCATGAATCCTCTGTGTAGTTGCTGTGGAGTGTAGCTGAAATACCCACTGCACCATTCACTGGGCTCATTTACCTTCTGTGGTACCTGGAAGAGCAAGTTGGTGTAGAAACAAATGAGGAAGATCCAGGTTTGGACCTTCTGATGTGTCTTCTCCTCTTGCAGAGAACAGGCCTTCGCCCAAGGAGCTGGAGGAGCTGGAACTGCTGAACAGGGCCTTAGAGAAGGCACTGAAAGTCAGGAAAAGCATCTTAAAAACTCCATTAGAGGTCCAGGAGGCTATGGGAGAGAAATCTGCAGGTGAGGGACCTGCACCTAAGAATGCTGAAGACCAGCAAATTCCTGTACCTGTTCAGGATGTTCCTGAGAACACAAAGGTGAGAGCTGTAGGCAGAAAACCTGCCTCTTTGAAGAAGCCTTCTTCATACCAGCTAAGAGCCCCTTATAGGACTGACCCAGATGTGAAAAAACTGCAAAGGAAAGCCCCAGCCAGATGTGTTTCTCAGGATCCCAGGACAGCTGGGAATAGCTCCTCAAAAGGGGTGTCTTGCAAACAAGGAAGGAGTCATAGGACAGCAATCAGTGACAGAGAGGTCTGTGCTTCAGCCGAACCCCTAAAGACACGTGGCTTGTCCAAATCTGCTCCAAATGAGCAGCAAAACTTTTCCATAGGGGATTCAGCAGGGGGAAATAACTCTGTAGCTGCTGGCAAGCAGTTATGTGACGCAGGAAAGAAACATTGTGGTTTCCTGGGAGAGTCCAGCAAACAGGAGGACCCTACAACGGAAGGTGTATTGGGAAGGGGCACCTCACCTCAGACAGTCACCCTGCAGGGAAAGAGGTAAGTGCTGAGAGATGGGCACTTCTCTTGTTCTGCCTGATGCTGACTAGCACATCGGGAAAGCTTGGTCTCTTCTCCTGCTCTGTAGGACCCAGTTTGGTTTCATTGCTCCTCAGATCCTTCTCAAGAGGAAGGATCCTTTACAGTTTAAAAGCCTTTATTGTGATTAAGTGTTTTCATTTTAAGGGCTTACTTTTGGATGGCTGGGATGTTGAAAGTCTTTAATTAAGACTTTTGATATTTCATAGCCTCCTGTGAGTGTTTTGGAAAGTTGTCCCCATAGAGTTTTCATGAGCCTTAGTTCTCCTCTGAGTGCACTTTCTATTACAGCTTATTGATTTATTTATTTTTTTTAAAATTGCATGCTTACATGCATGCTTTCTCACTTATATGCGTAATGCTGTTTGGAATGCATCTGGGCTTAATACTGCCCACTTTAACCTGTAAGATACTGCTCATGTAACTACACAAATCATTATTGACTAGAATGCAGTTGCAAGTGTTTGGTGTGAGAAGAATTACGAAGTGGATGTTAATGAGATAGTCTGTGAAAACTGGCAAAATAATACTTAGAAGATTGGCTTTGCAGTCAGACCAGTCTGTGTTGTTTAAACAACTTCTATATTCTTTTCTATGTACTCTTTGCTTTAAAGAAACAGTTAAGTTCAGATCTGATATATGCCTTTCCCTGGAAAATTTTGAGAAATAGTTCTCAGATGCCACAACCCAACTCTTGTGTTTGTGCAGGGAGGAAATTATCGCTGTTTGCGTGGTGTTGGAACGGACACAGGACACTGAGTGACAGTTGCTGGGGGAACAGGAATCTGGATTCAAATATTTATTTACTTAAAATCCCAACTGTGGTCTTGTGTTCACAGTCTGCATGTGACTCTAGCTCTAACTGCCAACCCACATGTTTTTCTAATAACAAGCTGGGGATTATTCTGCTTTGGTCTTAAGATGCATATTCCCAGTGGAAGCTGAAATGTCCTGTTCCCATTCCTTTGAGTGTTTATGCTGCTAAGCAAAGCTGCCTTGTCATGCTCGGGTATGGCAGTAGTGTCAGGGAGACCTGCTTGTGCTCATGTCTGTATTGATCACTTTCCCTGAACACATTGTTCCATGTGTGTACTCTGCCTTTTCAGAACTTTGCTCCCAGTTTCTCACCTTGGATGAACCTCTGATGGCTCGTGGTAGGATGCAGGAGCTCTCCCAGCTCAGCTCATTGTTGCTTGTGGAAATGAATGAGCAGACTGATACCCCTTCCTTGAGGGTAGGCTGAAGGCAGTGGTGGATTCAGTCTCCAGGGTTGCTGACATCTTCCATTACAGCTAAATTAATTTCAAGTTTAGACAAAATGTAACTTTCTCTGTTTGAAGACTAGGCTCTACTGCTCTCTGGCCATCAGGATTGATGCTTCTCTTGTTCTGCAGATGCCAGCTGAAGCTACCCCTTCCCTACAGGAAGGCCTATTCCAGGAACTCCAGGTAAGTCCAGCCTGATTAGATCAGTCCAGTCCAGAACTACCCTCTGTTTAAGAGTTGTGAAGAGGGGTCAGATGGGGGAGACCTGGCTGGTTTGTAGGTTACAGAGTGTGCTGACCCCACAGTGTGTGGGGTCTGAATTGAGAGCAGGAGTGGGCTGATACAGTGTTGTCTGCAAGGCTGTTGCTGAGGGTTATGTGTTTACGTGTTATTCTAGCCACTAGCGCTGCTTTTGTTTTCAGAGTGTTAATCCCTGCTAATCCTGGAGTTGTAAAGGTACTACAATGCTGTAATTGTGGGTTTAACGACACTGCAGAAGTGTCTGCTGATACCATGTACTTGTTGAAGACAGGAAGCCCCATGGGGTGGGTGCCTGTATACCTTGTGCAATGAAAGAATTTCCCAATCAGATGAAGACCTGAACTGCTCTGCTGAGGCACATCTCTAGCCTGAAAGCACCATGTCAGCGTGTGTTTGAGGCTGATTACTGCTGATTAACTCTTAAATAGAGCCAAATACAATGTCACTGCAGGTAGTTGGGTTTCTGGTTACCTTGGTGCTCTAGTCTGTTCTCCAGCCCTCTGAAAGGGTTTCTCACCGTTTCCTTTGAGAAATCTCACTGTAATTCTGGAGGCTTCTCATTATGTAGTTTGTACAGATATTAAGCTTAAACCCTATCTTGAATCTAACTATGGCCTCTTGTGCTACCCTTTAAGAATTCCTCCTCCTCTTGGGAACTGTCATTTATCAGACACCAATTTGTTAGTTGCCCTTCAGCAAATTGTAAAGACTTGATTCCCATAATTTTCACTTGTAAACTGAGCCCTTTGGCATCATAATCACTTGGTGTAATTTTACACTCTTCACTATGACTTTCAGCTCTGCAACAGATTGAAAATAACCTTTGCTCTAAAGATCCCTTACAGAGGGAATGCATCTTGCCTGGTAACTTCTTTGCTGTTCTGTTAACCTTGCTATTTCTTTGCATAATGTGTTTCTGAAAACTGCATTTTCTATCATGATTTAAAAGATCCGTTTGGATGGAGAGAAGATAGGCACACTCAGGTTAGACAGTCATGTGCTGCATAACTATTTTAGGCTTCCTCCTGATGGCTCTCACTGCAGCACGTTTTGGGAGACTGGCTGAGATGCACTGCGCTTTAAAGCGATCCTTTACATAAGGGATATCTCGGGGACAGTGCATCGGTGGGGATGTTGAAATGCACCTCTCTGGTAGTGCTGTTATGTCTAACACTTTCTTTTAAAAACTGGACTCCGATACAAGGTCCTAGCCAGCTTATTCTTGATACTGTCCTCAAACCTCTGTTTTGTGTCCCTGGGGCTGATGCACTGCTGTCGTGCTTCTTGCCAAACATACCACTTTGTCCAAAAAAATTAAAGGACAGTCTCAAGGAAGTCTGGTATTTGAAGGAATCACTGTGGTAAAAACTAGGGTGAGAATTTCTCCTGTCTGCTGCTATTTTTGTACACATTTACTAACAGAGTGAATGTACAGAAATCAAGGCAAAGAAGTTTGGTTTCCTGTAGGATAAAAAACATAGGTAGGATGATTCAACAGCATTAGTTATCTGCTGCAAGTTCACATTCTGATTATAGAAATGTGTTGTGTCTCTTCTAATGGCTGTAAATCATTCCCCTCAAAACAAGTTGAGAAATAAGTGTTTTGTGATGTCTGATGCTTTCTACAGGGTGTTCTTGTTGTTCCAATACCAGCTGTCAAAAATGAGGGGGGAATGGCTAGTAAATAACCTGTAAAAGAGGGGATTAAGGAGGATGCTTGTATTTGAAGTGCTGATATGTCATATTGGGGTGTTGCAGCTCAATGTGAGCACTGTCTAGGATAGTGGAGCATAACTCCACTTCCTGCCCCTTTTGAATTTTCAGGGCATGGGAGAAATGTCGTCTCTGCCAAACAAGTGCAGATGCAGCAGCTGCAAGGAATCGTTTTATAGAGAGGATCCAGACAACTGTATCCTTTCTCAGCTCACCGCCCCCTTCCACGAACACGTGGTGTGGTACAGCAGGCACCGGGTGCAATCACTCTGCAGTGTGCTCCCATCTGGAGAGAGTTACGGCTCCAATAACAGGAGTTCAAGCTCGGTCTCTAGGAAGTGTTTTTTTCATAGTGCAGCTTTTGAGCAGTCATAAAACTTTTGATCCAGGCAAACATGCCATACACAGCTGTGCTGTCCTTGCCTTCCCCCTGTGATGCCACTTCCTGGGATCTTCCCACTGCCCGTGATCCCAGCTAGCCTGGCTCAGGGCTTGGGGCAGCACACAGAGCTCATAGTGTGAAACCTTCCTTAAGCTGCTGCTGTTTGAGTTTTGTTCACCAACGCCTGCCTTCAGTCCTGCAGAGATAGAGGAGGAATTAAAGGTCCTCCAGGATGTCCCTTCCCTTCTGAGCCAGTATGTGGAAGCTGAGCCTGCAGGTAAGGAGAGAAAAAAAAAAAAAGTGGGGTGGAGGGAACAGAAGGTGGAATAAGGATGATTTCAGTGTGCTCCAGTTCTATGTGTCTTACGTTCTTGGAATGTGCTGAACATGAGGGACAGGAGCATTCTCTGCTTAAAATGAGGACTGGTAAACCCAAGGTCATTCCAGAAACTGATATTTGGGGAAGAAGGTTTCAGTTTACTCATGCCTGCTGGTTTTCCTCTGCTTCTCTTCTAGACCATCCCACTCTGCAAAGAGAATATGAAAGTCTTCTAACCTTGGAGGGTTTGCAAACGATAGTTTCCCAGTGCCTGCACAAGCTGCAGCTTCTGCGAGCAGGTAAGCCAGTCCCTGTTTTTGTAGTCAGGTATGGATGTGGCCAGCTGTGCTTGAAGGGTAGTTTGCTATATGTGCACAGAACATTGTGGGCCAACACAGATTTTCTCCTGGTCATCCTTACTGGTAATGTATCATGTAGAATTCTCTGGTGGCAAACGAAGCTGTGGTCTCTGTTTGCCACCCATCTGTGTTTGGGAGAGGCTTGGAGCTTTTAACTGCTGCAATTTAGCAGGGCTGGTGAGGGAGCTATGGAGAGATGGGGGAGATTGCATGACATAGCTTAAGATGTCCTGTTTGTGCTGTGTGTGAGGAGCTCACCCTAATACAGGGTCACTAGTCATTCATTTCTAGTAAGAGCAAGTAGGTCACAAATTCTGCAAGCAGAGATTTAACTTGTATATTTCTGCTTCCTGCCAATTCTTCCATCCTGGCAGCTGTGGAGTCCCAGGTGGGGCTGTGCCCAGACTGCACTGGGGATTTAGGAAGCTGCTCTCCAGCCTGTGTTCCTCCCAGGGGACAGATGTGTGACAGTGCAGGCGTGCTGGCTGTGCCTCTCCTTTGGTACTCCAGTTTCCAGGAGCTGAGCGACCTGTTTGCCTTGAAGCTACAAGTGTCAATGCTGCACCAAGAAATTGCCTTACAAAAGGTGAGTCTTTAAAGGTGTTAGTGCTCCTGGGGCAGGGCAAGGAAAGGGCAATTGTGGGGCAACAGCTGGTGTACTGGGTCTTGATGGGGAGCAGCAGCACAGCAAGCTGTCCCAGTGGTGTTTCTCTGTTTCTGCCTCCTGTCCAAGTGCCATCAGTGTCTTTGTAGATAAATGGACTTACTTTTTTCTTAAGGCCAGAGGAGAGACCTCTCTGGATAAGATTATTCTTTTGTTTTGTTTTTCTTTTGTTTAACACTGAAAGAGTTTGACAGGTAATGCCCAAAGACCCATTTTGGCAGCCCTTTACAGTCCCATTAGGGCAACACACTGTCATTCTCTCCTGCATGACCTCTAGCTAGTGAACTCTTCTGCTGTCTGTTCCTTTCCTTTTAAATATCAAACCACTGTGCTGCTAATCTTGACTTTACTGTTCTGAGACTGCCTGTCAGAACATGATAGGAGGTCTGTCTCTCCATCAGCCTTAGAGTTCTTGCTACACTTTTTCTCATCCAGCAACAGCAAAGGGTAGGGAAGATCTGTGAAATCACATGTACTCCTTTGACCTAGCCTTTGCTGTTGACCTGAATGATAGAGGCTTTGGAAAAGCCATTTTTTGTAAGCTAGGGAAGAGTTATTTATAACTGGTAGCACACCTCTCTCTGGCTGAAGATACTGCTTCCTGTCTTCAAATGGGACTTTAGTGCTATAATCCTGAATTATAAATTGTGAGGTTTTTGATTTTTATCTGCTCAAAATGAAATAACCAAAGCCTGCTGCCTGATGCTTTATCAAGTAACACAATTTTCTCTTCACGTGTATCTAAATAGCTGCTTTTTTGTGCTGGGTGAGCTCTGAGTATCTGAAGCAGCTCTGTGCAGAGTGTGCAAAGTAGGTGAAATTCTCAGGATGGGTGAAATGAATTGACTTGGTACAAGATAAATACCCTGGAAAAGGATGTCTGTGTTTCTGGGTCAAGCCTGTCCATTGCCTTTCCATGTCCTTAAGTTCTATTTCCCTGTCCCTGTGCAGAGATTTATGGAGAGCAGGCAAGGGAACCCCTTGCAGTTGCCCTGTATATACTGTTTGGGGCTTACTTCGTTTCCACCACTGAAAAATGCTGTGAGGGAGGTGACTGACATGTGCAGTTCATTGTCCACCTTTCTCCTGAGAAGGCACTGTGTGCACAGTAGACTGTGGGTTTTTAATGTGCAGACTGCTTAGACTTCATTAGCTGATGCCAGCTGGGAAAAAACAAACCAACAAAACATCCCAGGCAAAATGTCTTTCTGAGCATTAATTCAAGAATGGGGTAGTAAAAGCTAATTTTTGTCCCTTTATTAGAAGTTTACCTGGGCTTGAGTTGTCAGCCACAGTCATAATCCCAGATCTTTGTGCTGTTAATTATGGTGAAACAGGCCAGAGGGTTGACAGCATGGACTGCGACCACAAGCTGGTCTTAATAAACCAGAGGCCAGGTGAGGTCAGGGAATATTGGACAGCTTTAGCATCCCTTGTAGCCTGTGCTGCTAGAGGGTGTGCAGCTTTGTTCTGTTTGGGCTGGATTTGGCCACTTGCCTGTCTGTCTTGGATTAATGTGGCATAACTGGGAGGTGCAGGAGCAACAGTCATGAGTGAAGGGTTGAACCTAGTGTTGGGTGAGTAGGTGCTTCACTGTGTGGTTGCAGAGTCCTGAATCAATATCAGCTGCCTGGTTTTGGCTGGAACAGAGTTAATTTTCTTCCTAGTAGCTGGTACAGTGCTGTATTTTGGATTTAGTGTGAGAATAATGTTAATAACACACTGATGTTCTAGTTGTTGCTAAGTAGCGCTTACCCGAACTAAGTTAAGGATTTTTCAGTTTCCCGTGCTCTGCCAGCAAGCAGGTGCACAAAAAGCTGGAGGGAGCATGGCCAGGACAGCTGACCTGAACTAGCCAAAGGGCTATTCCATACCACAGGACGTCATGCCCAGTATATAAACTGGGGGGAGTTTATATACCAGGGACTGACTGGGCATTGGTCATTGGTGGTGAGAAATTGTGTTGTACCTCGCTTGTTTTTCTTGGGTTTTATTTCTCTGTCTTTTTATCTTCCTTTTCACTACTATTATTATATTTCAGTTATTAAACTGTTCTTATCTCAACCAACGAGTTTACTGGTTCCCTTCCCCATCCCACTGCAGGGGAGAGGAGTGAGTGAGTGGCTGCATGATTCTTAGTTGCCAGCTGGGCATAAACTACAACATTCAGCTTATTGCAGGGTGCTGATGTTATCCCAGTTCTGGGCCATCTCTGCAGCAGAGGAAAAGCACCAGTGTTTATCTCGCTGCTTTTGGAATGCTGGGTGTGCTTCATGAATGGAGGATGAACAGCTCTGACTTTGTTAAATATGACAAAAGAAAGTATCTGTCTGAATTAGCATGTTATTAGTCACACTGCTCTGGTTAGATTGCGCTTGTTATGCAGCCACTTCACTTTGTGCAATCCTAGAAGTGCACGCTGGCTCTGGTGACGTGTCTCCTTTGCTCCTGCCCAGGTCATGATGGCAGAACTGCTGCCTGTCCTAGAGGCCGGGCTCCACCCGGAGGCCTCTGCAGCTCAGCTGTATCGGGCGATTTACACGCAGCTCTGTGAAGGAGGCAAGCGGTTCCCTGTGCTGGTGAGAGACGAGCTGGCGGACAGATCCAGTGGGAGCCTCCTGCATAACCAGAGACAGTTTTAAGCAATAAATCTTTTATGTTAACTTTTTTTACTCTGCCTGTTTGTTTCAGGGATTTGGGGTTTTTTTCTTTTATATCACTTTTATGACTTTCTAACCCTGAGGTTTTGTGAAGCCTCTTCAAGGCCTCGTAGACACCGGTCTGGGCTCTTCTTCCAAGGTCTGTCTCTCTGGCTGTCTCTAGATTCTTGACTGCCTCTGTCAGGACACCAGGCTCCTATATGCAGGCAGTGTAGCTGGCAATAAAATATGGTTTATACTGATCAGGCAGCCACAGTATGGTGGGGCATAGCCAACCAGTGTCTGAAAATCCAGAGAACCTGAGCTGCTGCTTCCCTGTTACTCTGTACAACCAACATTGTAGTGGTCACTGTCTAGTCACTGACTGTTCGTTTTTTCATATCATCATTCACAGCAGCCCAGGCCACATAGAGTAGTGCCTCTTGTGGAATTACTCTGGTCTGTGGGTATCAGCTCTGAGTTGTGGTGCTGCTGGAGCAGTCCCTCTCCACAGCCTGTCCCTCACACCGCTGCTCAGTGCAGGGCCCCTGCAGGCAGCCTCACGACTCTTTTGTATAGACTTTCCCCTAGCTTACAAAGGAAGGGGTTCTGCTGTGTCATCATAGCTGGTGGTTCTGCCTGAGGCAGTAGTCTGTGTGCAAGTCTCTGTGCTTGGGAGATGTCGGGTTCCCAGCTGCACAGGAGGCAGCTGGTGGAGCAGCCCGGTAGGTGGCACTGGGCCCCTGCCTCATGCGTCCTGTGCCGAGGCTGCTGCAGGAGCAGCCCTCCGGAGAGACTAGTGCAATGTCCTGCCCAGATTCTGTGGCAATTCTGGCTTTGTCACCATGGGAAAGGTCCAGCTTTGCTTCCTCCTGCATCTTAGGTTTTTATACTTGTAATCCTCAAATCCCTGGCGTTTCTGCGTGACCATTAAAGCAAAGCTTTAGAGTCAAGTGCAATACCTCTGCCTGTGAGCACTTTGAAGTCTGTTTAGGGAAGGGCCACTGTGTGCCTCTGCTTATTACAGTTTGACTCGCACTGTAACTCTTAGCTGGACTAGGCCTATTTGCCTGGGAGTGTTCAGCTCTGGGCTGTTTAGCAGTGCTGACAGTGGTCATTATTTTTTCCTTCTGTGTTGTGGGTTTGGTTTTTTTTTTTCCCCAAGACCAGAGTTAGTTGTCTGTTTCTTCTGAATGTTTGGCCCTTTCTGACACTCAGTATTCACTAAAAATCATTCATATGATAGATGAAAATCAGCATCTCTTATTCCACTTTATTTTTTTTATTGCACTACATTCAGTTTTTTGTAGATGGTATTTGAATTCCCATGAAAATCGCATGCAGTCAGGGCAGAGATTTGTTACCTCCTTCCCCACTGCAGTGTGCTGTGAGGTTTAAGTCTGCATTGGCCTGTGGGGGTAACGGTGCTGTGGTCAGCAGCACTGGAGGATTGCAAGGTATTGATTAAAGGCTGCTCATAGGAACAGGCACTGCCTCCTAAACATGGTCATTTGCCCTGGGCATTAATATCTGCGTGTTTGAATTTTGGAGGAGACATTTGGTATTGTTAATTATCTTGCTGTTATTTGTAACATGTCTGTAAGCGCTGCATGAGTCATGGAGTATCTGTTGCTTTGTGTGGAGCAGTCCAGTGTAAATTGGCAGTAACTTGAGTGCCACAGCAAGGACTACACCGGTGTGAAAGGACTTTGAAAAAGAGACTGAGCCCACAAAAATGGGGTTGCGGGGGTGGTTAGAATCTGAAAAGACAAGTTGACACTGTAGGAGGGGTGCAGAAGAGGAGCACAGCTGCCAGTGTGACTGGCAGGTAGCTGGGTTGTTTAGTGCCTCTGGGTGCAGTGTGATTTTTTTTTTTTTTTTTTTTTTTTTTTTTTTTTTTTTTTT